AGCCCATCTGAGAGGTGTCCTTCTAAAAGAGGAGAAGAGACACAGAGATGCAGACAGGGAAGTCGGCCAAGATGGAGTTAAGCGGCAGCTGCAAGACAAGGAAGGCCTGGGGCTACCCAGAGCTGAGAGCCAAGAAGGGTCTTCACCGGAGCCTTTGGAGACAGCAGGGCCCTGCTGACAGCCTGGATTTGGACGTCGAATAAAGTGCTGTTGTTTTAAGTCACCCGCTTTGTGGAGCTTTGCTACAACAGCCCTAGCCGACTAATGTGCTGTTTACACTTCTTCCCCAACCCCTGTGGCATGGCCTCGTCCTCAGACCTCCCGGGCTCCCTCAGACTGTTAAGATTCCTTATCTCCATCATGCTGATCAAATCTCTTCAAGGAGCCCCTGGGTGGTGCAAACGGTTAACGCGCTCAGCTGCTAACCAAACGTTGCAGGTTGTGAGTCTACCCAGAGGTGCCTCAGAAAAAAGGCCTGGCGGTCTACTCCCTAAAAAATCAGCCATTGAAAACTACGGAGCACAGTCCTACTCTGACACAGGTGAGGTCGCCATGAGTTGGAGCCAACTCGACTGACAGTTGGTTTGGTTTTTCAAATCTCTCCAGTACGACCTGACCACAGCCTCCACTTCAAGGCTGGCCCGTTTGATAGGGTCTCTTTGAAAAGGCCAAGCTCGTCGTTAGCAGAAAACCAGCAGCAGCCAAAGCAGAACCGAGTCTGAGCATCAGTACCCTGGTCAGAGTCTACCTGGGGTCGAGGGCCGAGGAAGGTGGGTGGAAACCTTCCTTGACACATGGCTGGGCCGTGGACCTGACTCAGTAATCCGTAAACACACACTCATGCACCCAGTCGTCACAGGTTCGCTCCCTCCTGCTGGAATACTGAACTGGGAACATATTCTGAGCCTCAGCTGGGACATTGCTGGTGAAGCAAGGATTTCAGGTGAGAAGAAAATGGGAAGAGCGGATGCAGTGAACTTTGTTCTTTGCAGTGTTTTCATTCTGCAGCTTGCACTGCAGGGACCCTGACATCAGAGGCTCTGATGGCCCCAGGCTGTGTTGGAGAGGAAATAAACCAGCCTGCCCTACTTCCAGAGGCTGGAGTAATCCGTGTGCTGCACGGAACACGGGCTGGGCACAAAGTGTGTAGAGGAGCGCCCTCTCGTGGCTGACAGTGAGAGCTGCATCACCTTTGATGGGCAGAGGGAGGCAGAGGCCGCCTGGAATCAAAGCACAGGGCTGGTTGGAAGATCCTGTGTGACCAGTACTCTCAAAACAATTATAAGCAGGCAAATTTCAGGAGCTTATCCTCTGGCTCTGGTGGCACAGTGGTTAAGAGCTCGGCTGCTAACCAAAAGGCTGGCAGTTCAAATCCGCCAGCCGCTCCTTGGAAACCCTATGGCACAGTTCTACTCTGTCCTGTAGGGTCGCTATGAGTCTGAATTGACTCAGTGGCAATGGGTTTTGGGTTTGTACCCTCTGGCCAGAGTCCCTGGGTGGCACAAACGGTTGGCAGTTTGGACAGACCCAGAGGTGCCTCAGAGGACAGGCCTGGCAATCTGCTTCTGAAAGGTCCTACAGCCTTGAAAACCCTATGGAGCAGATCTACTCTGCACACATGGGGTTGCCATGAGTTGCAATCTGCTCCACAGCAACAACAATGTCCTCAGGCCTGGGGAAATCAAATGGGCATATGGGTTCTCTATTGACTTGATGACACAGGGGTTTCCAAGAAGGAAGAGAACAACATGGATCAGAGCAATCCCGGAAGCTGAGCTCCTGGAACCAGCTGCCTCTGAGTGGACTGAAAGGTTGGAAGTCTGAGTCCACTCAGAGGAAGAAAGACCTAGAGATCTACCTCTGAAAAATCAGCCATTGTAACACTATGGAGCACAGTTCTACCCTGACAGACACGGAGTCGCCGTGGGTCGGAGTTGACTCAACAGTAACTGATTTTTTAATATTACATAAAAGAACTGGCTACTATCGTCCTAATTTGTCTGTTTACTCCAAGAAAGTTACTTTACCCGGGGTTTGCCAGCTCTCCTAGAGTATAGGATGAGGGTTGTCTCAACATCGTAAACTGTCTTCAACCAGGGGATTTTAGGTTAGAATGTTCAGGCCCTTTCCTAGAGGGATCCAAAAATAACCAGATATTATTCATAGCTGAACAATGACTATATAAACTGCCCAAGGGGCTAATTGTAATTATTTTAATCTATTTTATTTATTTGACTCTGTGCAAATTTTATTTTAAGAAATGTAGGAGACACCCCTTTGAGAGCATGGGAGAATGAAGAAAACAAGATATAAGGGGAAGATTAGTCCAAAGGACTAATGGACCACAACTACCATGGCCTCCGCCAGACTGAATCCAGTACAACCAGACGGTGCCCGGCTACCACCACTGACTGCTCTGACGGGGATCACAATAGAGGGTCCCGGACAGAGCTGGAGAAAAATGTAGAACAAAATTCTAACTCACAAAAAAAGACCAAACTTACTGGCATAACAGAGACTAGAGAAACCCCAAAAGTATGGCCCCTGGACAGCCTTTTAGCTTAGTTATGAAGTCACTCCCGAGGTTCACCCTTCAGCCAAAGATTAGACAGGCCCATAAAACAAAACAAGACTAATGGGGCACACCAGCCCAGGGACAAGGGCTAGCAGGCAGGAGGGGACAGGAAAGCTGCTAATAGGGAACCCAAGGTCGAGAAGGGACAGTGTTGACGTGTGGTGGGGTTGTTAACCAATGTCGTAAAACAATGTGTGTACTGACTGTTTAATGAGAAACTATTTGTTCTGTAAACCTTCATCTAAAGTACAATAAAAAAAAAAGTTTAAAAAAGAAACGTAGGAGAGAGCTCCATAGCTTTAAAATGTTCGAGAACTATTCTTCTAGATCATGTTTCTCAAAGTTTAATGTCTGTGAGATTCACCTGGGCATCTTGTTCAAATGCACATTCTGATTCAGTAGGTCCTGGGTGGGGCCTGAGGTGCTACATTTCTAACATGCTCCCAAGAGGACTGGCTACCTAATTTGCAGAGTCCAGTTCAAAACGAAAACAGGGGGCTCCTTGTTTCAAAATTATTCACAATTTCATGAAGTCGATGATAGCATAAAATCAAGCGGGTGATTCTTCTGAGTGGGGCCTTGTGCTTCTGCCCGCCTGGGAAGCCGGCCCTGCCCCTAGGTGATGCTTGGCTGCTCGTCCATGATGAGGCTGAGTAATGAGGATCTTGTAGGGTTGCCCACTAGAACCTTCTGTGATAATGGAAATGCTCTAGATCTCTGCTGTCCAATGGAGTGGCCACTAGCTACGTGGGGCTGCTGAGCATTTGAAACGAAGCTAGTGCAAAGGAAGAACTGCATTGCCAGTTTTACTGATTTTTAATTAATAATTTAATGGTGATTAATTTAATTCATAATCTAATAGTGTAAAATTCTTGCCTTACATGCAGGAGACCCGGGTTCGATTCCTGGCCAATGAACCTCATGCATAGCCACCGCCCATCTGTCAGTGGAGGCTTGCATGTTGCTGTGACGTTGAACAGGTGTCAGCGGAGCTTCCAGACTAAAATGGACTAGAACGAAAGGCTGGGCGAGCTACTTCTGAAAATCAGCCAGGGAAAACCCTGTGAATCCTAATGGTCTGATCCCATGGTGCATGGGGTCTCCATGAGTCAGGAGCCCGCTCCAGGGAAGCCCATAACCACAGCCGCCATATTGGACAGCACAATTTAGATGTCAACTTCTCCAGCATAGCACTTCCTAACTCTAGCAAACAGTCAGTTTCCAAGTTGACTAGAGTATTACAGTCTCCGGGAGTCAGACCAGACCTTTTTCTTTGTGCGTTATTAGACCTATTTAGTCTTTTTTTTTTTTTTTAATCTCATGCCTAACGCTATTCTAAATATTCTCATGGAAAAGAGACCTGGTCGAATCCTAGAAATAATACTTCTTCAGATTCCTAAAAATTTCTTTTTAATTTACTGTGGAAAAGACTGCCAATTCACATGTTAAAAGTGTCTTGTCTCCTTTCATAGGAAATGACTGACAGCCTTTAAGTGCCGTCTGAGTCTTTTAAAGCTCAAGTGACTGATGCTCTTCAAGCAGAAGACACTTCGATGCAGCTTTGAAATGTGACTTGATCGCCCTAATGCGAAGAAGACAGGTTTTCAGGTGTCTGGGCTGCTCAGCCTGTTAACCCTCTGCGGTCAGAGGTTCTGCTTGCTGTAATTCGACTGAGCCTGTGCAGGCGGGGAGCCTGCAGAACTAGGAAACAAAGAGGCACCTCAGTTCTGAAGGATTTCTTTTTTTTGAATTAGGGCTGGGTAAAATCTCCAAACTGCCAGTCTCTTGAGAGGTTCTATGATTTCCAAACTCTATTCAAGATTTTAAACTTTCTTTTTGAAGTGGGATTAGTTGGGCAATGAATAGGAGAGAGAGAGAGAGGGAGGGAGAGAGAGAGGGAGGGAGAGAGAGAGGGAGAGAGAGGGAGAGAGAAGAGAGGGAGGGAGGGAGAGAGGGGGGGAGAGATGGAGGGGGTAGGAGAGGGAGAGAGGAGAGAGAGGGAGAGACAGAGAAAGAGGGAGAGGGAGCAAGCGAGGATAGAAAAGGAGAGAGGGAGAGGGAGGGAGGGAGGGAGTGGGGAGGAGAAGAGGGAGAGGAGGAGGAGGCAGGGCGGGAGGGGAGGCCGGGGAAAGAGAGGGAGGAAGAGGAGGAGGAGACGACTGACCTCTGGTGACCGGCACCAACACTGGAGGAAGAGTCACCTGGAGGCCCTCTGGGATGGCTCTCCAGCATGACTTACCAAGCTCCTCGGTTACAGCCTGACCAAGCACTTGCAGGCAGAGAGAAAAACCCTGAGGCTAGAACAACCTCGCCCTGTGCCTTCTCCTGAGCCCACAGCCCAGGCAGGCGAGAACCCACCCTCATACGTGTGCACCTTCCCGAGACTATGGCACCCGTGCTCCGCCTCCAAGTTCTCCCCTCAGACCCAGGGCTCCAGGGTCAGCTCTGCAGCTCTGAGGCAGTCTGTGACCTCTATGATCCCACGTAGGATCCAGAATTTTACCTGCTCAATGTTCGACCAAAAATACTCTATCTCCCGAGCAGTGGAGGCCGCGATGCGTCTCAGGCGGTTCTGCTCTTCCTTCCTTCCTCTCTCCTCGTGAAGCTTCTTTTCTTCGTGATGGCGCGCCACAGTTCTGACCAGCTATAAATAAAACGCCAAGAACCGTATGCCATGCTGCGTCCTGCTATAAAAAAGGGATCTGCGACGTTCTCACAAACCTGCCCAGCATACGACAACACAGTGCACTACGAGACCCACCCTCACGTCCCCTTGGGGGCACCAGCAGAACCGCTGGCCTGTCTACCAGCGAAGACCGCCATCCACGTCGGCTTGACCTTTCTAGAGGCCATTACTGGACTAAATAAGCACGTAGTTCTCAAAAATGGGATATGACGCTGTACTGTCATCTTCTTTCCCCATTTAATACACTAGGAGCATCTTTCCATTCAACCAACACAGATTAGCAACATCATTTTTAGTTAGATGCACAGTATTCCACTGCATGAATGCAGCAAACATACTTCACTCCTAAATATGAACGCTGTTGAGGCAAAGAGAAGTCACGTTTTTAAGGCTTTTGCTTTAAACTGCCAAGCTGCTCTGCACGAGCTTACACTCTTCAGGTACCCACCAGCAGCGCTCTGAAAAGTGGCAAGACGTAAATTAAAACCAAGAACATGCTCAAAGCCTGAGTGGCTTGGGTTCCCCTGCACCTGAGGGCAGTGCTCGTGTGGGCCTCGCCGACCCCGCCCCTCCTCCCTGTCATTGTCTGCACAGGCCCCCTCCCATCTACAACATGGCCTCTCTGTAAAATGCCTTTAAATTCCAACACTGCCAGAGGAACCCTGGGGCCGTGGCCACCGGCGGCGTCCCCACCCACCTTCTTGGCCGCAGCCACCTTCCACCTGCGCTCCTGGGCAAAGTCGGTGGCCATCCACTGCATCTCCTCCAGCAGGGAGTCCCAGTGCGCCCGTGGCCGTGGGGCCTCCTGCACCTTGGGCAGCCGCCGTGGCGACCACAGGCCCTCCTTCCTCAGCTCTGCGACGCGCTGCTGGACCTGGTTCTCCTGCAAGGAGGGTCAGCACTCGGTGACAAGGTGCGCGCCACCCACTCAGACACCCGATCTCGCTCTCGGCACAGCAGGAGTCCCTGGAGGGAGGGCTGGTTTCGCTTTGGTTGTTAAATACATAAACTTAAGAACAGTGCCAGGCATCTGCAGAACGAATTCCACGTTATCGTCACCACAACCAAACGTCCACCTTCATTTTTTCACGTTCTCGTCCTGCCCCCGCCCACTGGCCCTCATGATCTTAAATGTAATCCAGTGAGGCCACAAGTTCACATTCGGTGTTTTTCTACTAATTTAAATGGATCTTTTCCTGGGCGGCTCCTCAGAGAAAGGGGGCTGGGACTAGGTCTAGCAAATGGAAAGCATTTAGGTGGGCCGAGAGGGAAGTGGGCGCTGGGGGAGGAGTGGAGCCGCCCGCTGCTTGGCACAGCCGGCCAGCCCAGCACTGCCCTCCTCCATCCCCTAGACCGGGCACTCAGCCCTTCTGGCGGACAGTGCAGCAGGAGAGAAGCAGGAGGCGCGGTGGGCCCACCCGGGCACACGGGTCCTCCACTCCCGATGGAAATCACCACGCTCTCCCCAGCTGACCAACCGTGCACGAGACGGGAAGCCAGCCACACAACCAGCACGACGTGCCCAGGCACCAGCCCCGAGCGGTCTCCCTGGGCTTCGACGGCCAAATGGACAGCTCCTCTGTGTGTCCACTGCCACCTCAGACGCAAGATATCCCACACTGGCTCCTCAAGAGCAGCCCCAAGCAGTGCTCCCCCCGGCGAAGTAGGCGTTTTCAGGAGCTTACCAGTGTCATCTGTTCTGCCAGCTTATCCTGAGAACTGTCCTGGGATGTGGAGGCATTCTGAGCCGGGCTCTGTGCCTTCAAGGGGGTCAGGGCGGCTGCCCCCGGGGACCGGGATGCAACAGGAGACAGGGACTTGTTAGTGGCTGAGGAGGGTCTATTCACTGGCGAGGCCCGAGCAGGCGAGGGTCCCAGGACCGCGCTGCCCACAGGGGTGAGGGACGAGGTAGAAGAGGAAGTGGGCAGAGGCCGCTGGCAGGGCTGGGCAGCATCCACGGGGGGCCTTGTCAGCGCCACAGTCTAACAGGCAGAAAACAAGACAAGGTTTCAGGAGCTTAAGTCTCCCCACTACAGAGGGGACAGCAACAGAGGTAATGCACCAACAGCTTCCTTTCTGTAACTACTGAATGAACAAAATAAATCACATCCAAAGTCACAGTAATAAAGCACATTCTCAACCACATCCACACACACGTAACACGTGAACTAAACAGGAGCTCTCATTCCAAGTTGTGCCCTCACCTACTGCCTCGTCTCTCGTGTGAGCTGTTCTACCGAACGACAGCCCGTGCTGCCGCCGCGCCTCTTCTCTGAGGACACACGCGAGCCACCCCGCAAGCCTCCTCACGGAGGGCTGGGGTTCTCCTCCGTGCCTGCCAGATCACGCAGAGCTTGTACAACTGCAGGAAAGGTGCTCTGACCCCCTTCCTTCCCTAAAGACTGCACTATGCACTCACACTCTGCAGGGGGCAGAACTGAGCGCTGAGGACAGACTCCGGGGGTGCAGCCCATTCACCACCCGGAAAAGGCATCAGTGACGAGCCTCTCTCTAAGCCCAGCGAGTCCCTTTCTTGGTAAGTGGGGTAATTCCCCCCACTCAGCAGTTGGCAAAGTCCAGCCACTGCAGGCGTTCAGAGATCCAGTCTTACTGGCAAGCGGCCACGCCCGCTCATTTCCGACCCGTCTGTGGCTGCTTCCTCCCCGAATAGGTTCAACGGCACTGAACGGCCCACCAAACCCAAACACGTACTCTCTGGCCCTTCCCAGAAAAAGGGTGCTGACCCTCCCCCCCTGTAATAACAGGCTTCTACACACGTAGAGTGCTTCTTTAAAATCATTTTCTACAGCTGATCCTTAAATAACGGCTCTCACGGCTTCCCCGCGTGCGACAGGCTGAAACGCTGCCCGGTCCCGCGCCACCTACACCGTCACTGGCGTGGTGGGTTCCGCTGACACAACCACTGTGTACTCTGAGTGTGAGAGCCCTCCAACCTAGGGGCTCACCTTCCAACACCATACTGGGCAGTGTTCTGTTGTGACCCATATGGTTTTCCCTGGCTGATTTTCAGAAGGATACTGCCCACTGTGTATGACACTGGTGGTATCTGAAATACCAGCAGCACAGGTCCCAGCATCACAGCAACACACAAGCCACCACAGTATGACAAACTGACAAGACGGCTGGGGGCCTTTAAATACTATAGACAAATAACCTAAGAAAAACCACAGGGCTGCTTCAGATCAGTACACGGCCCAATGACAGAGAGTGTTCAAAACAGACGCGTTTCCACAAGAATCTAAAGAAAGCAGTGGCCTTGAAAATGCTCAACTGCCCTAGAAGGAAAGGCTCTCATTCTCAAAGTAGACACACGGGGGATTGGACGTGAGCCCACAAAGGCTCTGAAACCATATCGGGGCTCAAATCAAAGCACCCCCAATTACTAGCAGTATGATCTCGCGACACTGCTTAACGTACCTGGTTTCGTCTGTCTCATCTGTAAAATGGGGTGGTAAAGAGTCTACCTCCCGGGTCGCTACGTAAAGGGAGCAAAATGCCAACAAAGCCCTCCCCACGGTGCCTGAGGCCGTCCGTGTAGGGTGAACACAGGGTAGCAGCTATGCTCTGCTGTCATCATTCTATCATCAGATAGCTAGATCACACTTTGCCGTGAATTTTAAATAATCCTGAACACTTGAACTCAAAGCCCACCTAGAACGTTCACTTGCTAGTGAGGGAGGGCAGGAGGAAGTGGGTGCCCCCACTCACTGAAATGAATCAATTACAGAGGACCAAGGCAGGGCCTGGCCATCCTTTGGAGACCCTCTGCCACCCATCAAGGCTGCTGACGTGCTTCCTGCCCCGCTCGGCAGTCCTCTCCTCTCAAGGGACTGAGGCCATTTACTGCCGACACTTCAAAACATGCACCTGGGTAAAGTTAGCAGAAGAGGGGGGGCATTCCAAATCCCTGAAAGGTGTACCAAGCCCGGAACGCAATGCCCTCTCAGGTGTGCAGAGCACACAGCACCAAGAAGAATAAAAACAGGGCAGGCGTCCCCGGGAGGAGCGGGCTAGACGGCAACGAGGGTCTGCACTCAGAGCTGGGACAGCCCCGCTCGATGTGTGTGCACTGTGCAGCCCTGGGCAAGGCACACCACTGCTCAGCCTGTGTCCAGATTAGTCAATGGCCAGTACTGTTTTCTAATGGGATAACCACGTAACGCTCTGAGCACATCTGTACTTCAGTAAGTGGAAGGTCCCTGCACTCACAAGAACAATATTAAAAGTTCTGTTTTTTATTACTTTAATAAAGATAATTATGATTACGGAGACAAACGAAACAATAGTCCAACTATTCAGCTAACTGTTGTAAAGCAGGAGAGTAAACTGCTAAGAGAAAAGTTGCAGACTGCCGTGTGGCACAGCATTGTTGCAGCACACGACGGCAATCAACCTGCAACTCACCCCTTCTTTCCCGTCTCTTACTGAGCAGACAAACATCCGGCTGTACCTGTGGCTGGGATGGAAGCTGAGACACCTGCATGTGGGCCTTCCCGGGCACTGGGACGTGCAGTGCGGGCTGGGTGGGCTGCTGCAGCGGAGTGGGGAACTGGCTGGAGGGGGGCACAGGGACGGGGACAGGGGGCTGCTGAGTCTTCACAGGAATTTGCAGCTGTGTCTGCGACTCCACCATCGGGGGCTGCTGTGAGAATTGCAGTGCGGACGACGGGGTTGCAGCAGGGGCACTGGCAGGAGGCAGCCTGGCAGGGAGCTGTGGCGGCGGGGTGTGCAGGCTGGCGGCATTCTGCACAGGTGGCCCCGTGGAAGGGTCGTACTGCTGCTGACTCTGCTTCTGCCCCGTGAGCTGAGCGGCCTGTGGAGTGGGGGGCATCCCTCCTGCAAACCCAGAAGAAAACCCCAACAGCACTGACTTTGGAAGCAATCCAGCCAGTGCCTAGAAGGAAACACATTTTTATATCCAAATGCTTTGTCACAGACCCATCACCTGAAAACCAATTCATACACTCAAAAAGGAAAGTACACTGATGGGGTATCAGTATCACATTAGCTCTAACGTCACAAATGAGCACACAGAAAGGAAAGAAGGGGCTTGACCCTTGTATGTCAGCACCAAGCTGAACAAGCATCAAAGCACTGAAGGGCATCCCTCTACAGCAGCAGCAGTTAAGAGAAGCACGAGTGTAAAACGTGGCAAAGCAGTGACAAGGAGCCATGGGGCTCTGTTAAAGTTACAAGAATGTCTCCAGGGGCTTTTTATACTGTACACCTATTCCTCACTTATCGACTATCCCGTTATCCAACATTTCGCATTTACAACAATAGTAAAAAACCTATTATCTGGCTGTTTCGTGCGTTAACGACACATGTCTGGCAGTAACGAACGCCAAGGTGCACGGCAAGAGTAACGCCAGATGTGATGGTTGAGGTTATGTGTCAGCTTGGCTGGGCCATGATTCTCAGTGGTTTGGCAGTTACGTAATGATGTAGTCATCCTTCATTTTCACATAATGCCGATTTTCGCATAATGACCTGGTCTTTGGAACCTAACCATGTCGGTGAGTGAGGAGTGGGTGTATTAAGCGGGACTCAAAGAACTACCCCAATTTCAGAAAATCCACCTTAAATATACTACCTTGACTACAAAAGTTTAGTTTGATGTTGATTACCAGCTAGAAGAGCTGGTTCTTGCTAGGGCTTACCTTGTGCTGTCGGCATTAACTGCTGAAGAGGAACGCCTGTGTTCACCCCTGGGTGCTGGAAAACTACCCCTTGGTGACCCACTTCAAGTCGAGGCCTCTTACACTGCTCTAGAATAATTTTCAAAAAAGGTGCAGTGTGATGTAAAAATAAAACCACAAAGTAGTAGAAAAAAACATGTGTAAGTGTTCTTAAAATCTCTGAACAGGGAGGCATTCTATGCATGAACCAAACTCCAAATGCCATAAAAGGTAACACTCTTAAGTACAATTTCTTATAATTAAAAATTTGCAAATATTAAAAAAAGCATCATTAAACGGCAAAGGACAAGCAACAACCTGAGACACACTACTTGCAACACATAATAGACAAAGGCTAACATATTTAATACTCGAACAGCTCTCACAAATTAATGTGGAAAATATCTACAACCAGAGAGAAAAAATGGGCAAAGAACAGGGACAGTTAGTTCAGAAGAGACTCACAAATGTTTAATTAACATGAAAAGACACTGTGCAACCTTACTAAAAATTACCACACTGAACTAAACCTACTGCTGTCAATTCCGACTCATAGTGACCCTACAGGACAGAGTCGAACTGTCCCATAGGGCTTCCAAGGTTATGATCTTTACGGAAGCAGACTGCCACATCTTTCTCCCGCAGGGCAGCTGGTGGGTTCAAACCGCCAACCTTTTGGTTAGCAGCCGAGCACTTATACCACTGCACCACCAGGGTTTCTTTACTCAAAATTAAAGAAATCCAAATCAAAACAAGGTATAATTTTTCACCCATCAGATCGGCAAAGATTAAAAGATTGGTCATAATTGATAAAATGGTAAACATGTGAGAGAACCAGAAGTTGCTAGGAGTGAAAACAGGCCCTGCCCGGCTGGGCAGCATCAATACTTCAGCCCACATAACCTGTGACCCAGCAAGTTCATTTCTATGAACTTTTCCTTTGGGTATATTGACAAACGTGCAGAAAAATCTGAGACTAGATGTTCAATCCTGCATTGACTGCAAAAGAAAAAAGGGCAGTAATAACACATGAACGTGAGCGAGGGTCTGATTAAATAAACAGTGAACGGTCCACACAAAGGACCACCATGCAGTCATCAAAAAGAACAAGGAATAACGCCTTGCAAAGACGTCCAAGGTAGTGTATTAAGTAAAAGAAATAACAACAACACATAATAGTGCATGTACGGTCACATTTGAATCCTTTTTTAAATAACAATGCTTGTGTAAGCACAGAAAAATGTCTGCAAAAATATACAAAATATTAATGGTGTAATGGAGATTACCTCTCTGCCTAGGGACTGGGTAGGTAATTCTAACCCAGAGGCCGACTTAAGTTATACCTTTCTGACCGGTTTGAATCTTTTACATAATATAATTTGAAGGAAAAATCAGTTTGAGAAAAAGAATGACAACTTCACCACGTGGATGATTTCACAGTGACCCTCTTGTGGTGACGGACGGGCCTATGCATACAAGCAGAAGGACCAGCACAGGACACGCCTATTCAACTCAGCACACACACACAATCACATAGATATCCTGTCCAGCTGAGAATCCCCACAAGAAAAAGTAACTTTCAAAGTGAACAGAAACTAACTAAAAATTACTTCCCCGGCGCTCGCCACTTGGAGGCACGTGCTGTGACTCCCGCGCTCAGAAGCGCGGCACCTGAGGCCGCGGCAGCCTGGCTGGGACGTACCTCCCGCGGGAGGCAATGCCTGCTGCCTCTGGAAGGGGTCCACGTCGATCACGTTGCCCGCTGCGGCCACCAGGGTCCCTGCGAGTGCTTGCTGCTGGGGAAATGGAAAAGTGAGATGTGAGAGTGGACGTGCATTACAGGAATGAACGTAAACTGCAACTATCATAATTATCCAAACCCTGACCTCATGCCTTTTTAATAAGAAAACGTGATCTGAACAAGGTAGAGTCAAAACACACATACATAATATCTACTTCCACACGCGAACTCTCGTTTAAAATTCTAACTTACCTGTGGAGGAAAAAGAAAGGACTGGTAAAGAACACAATTCTGGCTTTAAATGGATTTCAAATCAATGCAAATCTAGAGTCCCTCAGAAACTAGCTGGCTTTGCATATGAAATGAGAGCAGAGGGCCCATGCGGGAGCAGCAGGCTCAGCCTGAGACCCAGCTCAGCCCACTGAGAAGGCACAAAGCCAGGCATGCCTTCACACCCGAAAACAAAGCAAAACAAAACTGTGTAATAAACAGAAAGATGAGACTCTGCTGCTATGGGAAACTGATGCTAAAACCCCAGTTAGTAACAATCTAATTAACCTCCATCTTCAAAATGGTGTAATTTTTGTAGATAGCACTCTACTTGATATATAGATATGTGAACAGTAATACAGGTTATGGGTTACTTAAAATGTTTAAAGAAAAGGCCATTGGCAAGTTCTTTTAAAAAGAAAGAAACTAACAACCCTGGGGCAGCACCAATCTAACCCCGTGTCCGTACCTTCCACCCTGTGCACCAACCATCCTTGCACTCAGCAAATGCTAGGGATGGCGTTTCTTAACGATCACTAGCTGCTGCGTTATTATCTGACGAGGCGATTACCTGCACCCTACTCAGTGAGGCCTTTTAAATGCAGAAGTTCCATGTGTCTGAACAGAGTCAAGGCAAACCTGCCACAGACTATTCACCCTTGGGAAAGGCACAGGAGGTGGGTACAGGAAGTCAGCTAGAATACAGTGCATTCAGCAGGACGGCTCCCCATCTGCATTTAACAGAGATGGGGGAGGGGGGTGAACAAAGAGAGGGAGGAAAGAAAAGAATGATCGGAGGCACAGACACCAATGTGTTAAGGGTGGTTATCTCGGGACAGGATTACTCTGTGTGTGTGTGTGTGTGTGTGTGTGTGTGTGTGTGTGTAAGTGTGTGTGTGTGTGTAAGTGTGTGTGTGTGTGTGTAAGTGTGTGTGTACGAGTGTGTGTGCGCGCGCACATGAATGCTTTCCTGCGTTCTCCAAATGTTCTATAATAAAACACGTATTACATGCTCAAAAGAGGTTATTTTTCAATTAAAAAACTGATAAAGGGTTCTGCTTCCAGTAACGCCCACGTACTTCCTATCAGACCAAACACAATGCAGATAAGCATAAACTCTAGGAGGAATATAAACAGTACTAAAAGGTTGGCAGGCAGAGGCAGGAAACCCATACTTGCAAGAAGGAAACCAGGTGAGATTCTTGTTTTCCGCGGAACTTGGTATGAGGGCAGACACCAGTCTGTGATACATGAGACAGCTAAAACCCAAAGAGACGCAGTCTCAGTGGGTGGGAAAGTTAAGGGAATCACCAAAAAGGAACAGAGGGGAGAAGCCCCACACTCTCCATAACGGCTGCCAAATTTCTGGTGGACTCTTAAACCATGCGTGCACAGGGCAGACTCCAAGCAAGGCCAAGAGTTCCACCCACCACAACGAAGACAAGGTTGGTAATTTCGGCTCAACAAAGTTATTTAACAAACTGCTAAAGCAAAACAATCCATACTCTTCAGAAGAACATAAAAGAATCCAGAGTCTCTACAATATATCACTCAAGATGTCTAAAATCCAATTCAAGATTATTCCAGAATACAAAGGAACAAAACAAAACACGACCCACGCTCAACAGACACCAACTCTGAGATGACCGAGATCATGGAATTAGCAGCCAAGGACGTTAAAGCAGCTTTAATAATTATGCCCATGGACATAAAGAAAAAATATGTTTGTAATGAAGGGAGTAAATCTCTACAGAAAAAAACAGATACTATTTAAAAAGAACAAAATGGAGACTCTAGAATCGAAAAACAGAATATTTGAATAAAAAATTCTTTGGACAGGCTTAAGAGCCAATCGGAGATGCAGAGGAGTCGGTGAACTTGAAAAAAGATTCTAGAAAGAGAAGAACAAAGTTGAAGGACTCAACTTCAAGGCTCACCGTAAGGCTATAGTAATCAAGTCAGCGTGGTCCTGGCTTAAGGACCAACAGACAGATCCAAAGAACTAAATGGAGACCAAAGAGACAGATGGGAAATGGGAAGTCTTCCCAACTAGTGGTGCTGGAAAACCGGGTTGGTGTTGTTGTTAGGTGCCATGGAGTCAGTTCTGACTCACAGCAACCCTATGTACAACGGAATGAAACACTCTCCGGTCCTGCGCCATCCTCATGATCACTGTTATGCTTGAGCCCAATGTTACAGCCACTGTGTCAATCCATCTCATTGAGGGTCTTCCTCTTTTTCGCTGACCCTTTACTTTACCAAGACTGATGTCCTTCTCGAAGGGCTGGTCCCTCCTGATAACTTGTCCAAAGTATGTGAGACGAAGTCTCGCCATCCTCACTTCTAAGGAGCATTCTGGCTGTACTTCTTCCAACGCAGATTTGTTTGTTCTTTTGGCAGTCCATGGTATATTCAGTGTTCTTCGGCAACACCATAAAAATTGGGTATCCATGTGAAAACGTGATTTTTCCTTCATTAAAATAAAATCTCTGTTCGTCAAAGGACACTGACAGGCAAGGCCGCACTCTCTATTCCTAACTTCTGACTGTTGCTGCCCTGTGTTTTCCCAGAGGACTGAAATGCGCATGTCATGGTTATAACTGTGTTCTTAACCTAAGCCTCATCTGCTCTGCCAAGGGCAGGGAAACTCCTCCAGGCACCTTGTCAATTGCTGACACTTATTTTTGGTTTGCAGAACAATTTTTATCTTACCCTATCCTCATGAGTATTTTACTGGGAAAGATACTGTTGTCATTAAAATACAAACTGGATTTTAATTAAAAATCATCATTAGAAATCTTGGAAATAGAAGAAAAATTTTCATGGAGAAAAGGGATACTCTGTGATGGAAACTTAATTCTGGGTGCCCATTCTGAGAGAGACAATGCTAAAACCAAATTTATCCACAGAAGCCGTAATGTAATTTCAGGAAGTCTAGAAACAACATCAAGAAAAAGACCAACTGAAGGAAACAGAGATGTGTAGCTCTCAGGAAAGACAACTTAGGACATTTGCCACGCTCTTCTGAAGGAAAGAATTAAGACCAATAGTAGCTGGCATTTACTGCCCAATTTAAAGAAACGGGCAAATAAATACATAAACGTTAATATGACTGGAACTTGCCAACAAAGAAAAATGTCACTTTGTAGGACTGGATGCTGTCACCGAAAAGGACAGTAAGGGCCAGGAAGGAGTGGGGTGACCACCTTTCTGAGTATCTCAACAGAACTAGGACTTCAGACTAGATGACCTAAGGTCTCTTTTAATTCAAGATTCTAAAAGAAACCTAAGTTTAACCTAGAGTAATGATAACTCAGAAGGTGCCCTGGTGGTGCAGTGATTAACCGCTCAGCTACTTACCAAAAGATCGACGGTTCGAACTCACCACTGGCCTCGCGGAAGAAAAGACCCAGTGACCTGCTCCTCTAAAGACTGCAGGCTCGGAAACCCTATGAGGTAGTTCTACTCTGTCCTACAGGGTCGATATGAGTCGGAATAGACTCGACGGCACACAAGAACACAATGACAACTGAGAGGAAACCTAAAAGTACACACAGAAAACCATTCATACCTTCTTTTTAAAGTAGATTAAAACAAGCTGAGGTACCACTTCACATCTCTAAACTTTCAGTAATACACTCAGAAATATGAACATGTATGCAACACAATATAAAAACAACAGTAACTAGGTCAGAGTCACGGAATTATAAATAATTATTCACTTTCCTAACATCAGAATCCCTGAAAAATCATCGCCAATTAGGGTGGCTTTTTAAGATCTAAATAACTGCAATCGTATCGGTATTATTTTGTATATGATAACTACACTCAACACTACTACGCAACGTAACCTCTTAGAAGCAGATGAAAAGTGATACACACCCAGTGCTGAGAACTCTGGATTTACTTCTAGAGTTGAATTAGCGATAGACTAGTTTATGATAAAAATCATGGAACTGGTTGCAAATAACAAAACTCATCCTAAGGGTGTCTTAACCCTTCCTAGAACGCCTAGCCCATGTTGATGTGTGCTGTGGTTGCAGCTCACACGCTCTCACTCTTGACTGGCACTCCCCTGTGGGACAGTACCCAACCGCCTTAGCCATTGTATGCCAGGGGACATTTTGGTTCCTTCCCGATCGGAGCCCTGACAGATAATGCTGCTGGGACATCATTATCCATGTTGGCTGGTGCACAAATACAAGAGTATCTTGAGCACATGCTCACCTTTTCCAGATAAGGCAAGATGTTTCCAAACGGCTAGTCCAGTTACACTCCCACCTTTATGGACTAGAACTGCCACTGCCCTACATCACAGTCCATCTAGCTGAGTTTCTGACAAGCTGGTGAGTGTGACAGTAACTCTGAGTGGTTTAACTTGCATCACTCTGGGAACTGCACATCGTTTTCATGTATTTACAGGGACCCCATGGCTTCTCTTGTGCCTCTGCTTCTACAAGTTCAAATACGTATCATGTGGCTCATCTGCATTATTCTATTACAGTCCTCCATGCAGTAATGGGAAATATGTCCCACTAATAAATTTTTTGACAATCTTCAATTTAAGATTTACCTTCAAATAGTATCAAAATCATTACAACAAGCACCAAAATACTGGTTTCAATTAGTCCCCACTAAAACGAACCAGTCTCCTTGGAGAAATGGCTGATTCCAGGCCTGGAGGAAGGTGAACCTGTTGTGCCAGAAAGTGAGGAAGTGCTAGGAAAGTGACAGGGAGGTGTCAAAAGTATACCAGAGACGGCCCTGAAGGGGCGGGCGCCAACCGGTCAAATTACAGATAATTTGAGCATCAAAATGAGTAAGGCTAGAATAATGGTGGTGGGTGGGGAGGCTGGGCAGCAGATAACCAGGGAGGAGCACAAGGAAATGTTCTAAAGTGATGGTATTTACACCTTGATATGCACGTGGTGTTACGTGGGTGTGTGCATTTGTCAAAACTCAGCAAACTAACACTTAAGATCTGTGCCTTTCCCTGTATTAAATTATACTTCAATCTAATGTAATTCATATAAACAGATTAAAGAAAAATCACACGATCGTTTCAAGAGAGGCAGAAATAGCATATGACAATATTCAACATCCACTCAGGATAAATACTGTCCACAAACAGGAATAGAAGGGAACTTCCTTAATCTGATAAACTCATTGCCATTCTAGTTGATTCCTACTCATAGTGACCCTATAGGACAGGGTAGAACTGCCCTATAGGGTTTCCAAGGAGTGGCTGGTGGATTTGAACTGTCAACCTTTTGGTTAGCAGCTGAGGTCTTAACCACTGTGCCACCAGGGCTCCAATCTGATAAAAGACATCCACAAAATCCACAGCTAACATTACATTTAATGGTAAGGACTGAATGCTCCGCCTAAGATCAGGAACAAGGCAAGGATGTCTGCTCTCACCACTCCTATTCAACACCACACTGAAAGTCCTTGCCAGCGCAACCGAGCAAAAAATAAATAAAAGGCATACAGATCAGAAAGGGAAAAATAAATCTTCTATTTGCAGACAACATGATTGTCTAGGTAGAAATCCCACGGAAGCTACCAAAAAAGCTCCTGAAAGTAATAGAGTTTAACAAGGTTGCAGAATACAAGTTCAAATATCAACTGTATTTCCATGTATTTGCAATAAGCAACTGGAACCCTACTCAAAAAAGGTACTATTTACAGTAGCAGACAAAAACTAGAATACTTAATTATAAATCTAACAAAACATGTACAGGATTGGTATGCTGAAGACTACAAAAAACTCATGAAGGAAATTAAAGACCTAAATAAATAGAGAGCTATACCTCGTTAATGGGCTGGAAAACTCAGTATTGCCAAGATATTAATTCTCCCCAAACTGGTCTATTTATTCAATGCAATCGCAATCAAAATCCCAGCAGGATGTTTTATCGACATTGACAAGCTGAACCTAAAATTCATGTGGAAACGGAAAGGGACTAAAGGGGCAAAAACAGTTCTGAAAAAGAAGAACAAAGCTGAAGAGCTCACACTACCTGATTTCAAGACTTATTATAAAACTATACTAATCGAGACGGTGTGACATGGCATGAAGACAGACACACAGATCAAGGGAAAAGAACAGAGAGACCAGAAAAAGACAGACAAATATGACCAATTTATTTTTGACAAAGATGTAAAGTCAATTCAACAAAGGATAGTCTTTCCAAGAAATGGTGTTGGAACAACTGAATATCCATATGCAAAAAAAAATGAGCCTCTACTTATACCTCCCACACTACACAAAAGTTTACTCAAAATGAAATACAAACCTAAGTGTAAAACAAACCATAAAACTTGTAGAAAGAAAAAACAGAAGAAAATCTCTGTGACCTCAGGTTAAGCAAAGAGTTCTCAGGACATCAAAAGCACATCCATAAAAGGAAAAAAAAGATAAACTGAATTTCATCAAAATTTAAAATTTTGCTTGTGAAAGACAGTATTAAGAGAATAAAAAGATAAGCCACAGAATGAAAGAAAATATTTGCAAATTGCGTATCTGACAAAGGAACTGTATCCAGATTATGTAAAGAAATCTCAAGACACAATAATAACCCAACGAAAAAAATGGGCAAAAGACATGAACAGATACTTCACCACAGAAAATATACAAACAGCAAACAGGCACATGAAAAGATGTTCAACATCATCAGACTGAAAGGATATGCTCAGATCAAAACCACCACATACTTATCAGAACGACAAAAAAACTGACAATTCCAAGTACTGAGAAAGACCAAGACCAACCAGAATTATCATACACTGCTGGTGGAAATAGAAAATGGTTTGGCACCTTCTAATAAAGTTAAATATACCTTTATCATAAGATCCAGCAACCTGACTCCTAGATATTCACTCAAATGAGATGAATACCTATGTTCACGCAAAAAATTGTACGTGAACGTTTACGGCAGCTTTATTCATAATTGACAAAAACTGGAAACAATCCAAATATACTACAGAAGGTGAATATGCATAAAGAAAGCGGAGTACATCCATACAATGGAATCCCATGTGGCAATAAAAAGAAACAAATACTGGTAAATATAACAACATGGGCAATCTCAAGTACGTTGTGCTAAGTGGAAGAAGCCAGACCGAAACGGCTCCATACTGTATAAATCCATTTATACTTCATTCTGGAAAAGGCAAAATCAGAGATGGAAAACAAAGGCTAAGTGGTAGCATGAAGGAACTTTTGCAGGGCAATGGGACTGTTCTGTTTCTTGACTGTGATGATGGTTACATAACTCTATGCATCTGTCAAAACTCACAGAACTACAGAAAGAAAAGAGTGCATTTTACTGAATGTAAATGACATACAAATAATACTGGGAGTGATGTATTAGAATCCATTGATTAAAATCAGAATCTATACAAGAATAAATACATAAGTGGAGGAAAAGGGAAAGCTCTTTCTTAAGTAAAATGGCCAACTAATAAATGCAGAAGGGATAATGAGGTTAGAAAATACACTTTGTCATTTTTAAGGTAAAAAATGATTCAGGCAAGATCATCAATAGATGTTACAATTAGTGAGTGAAAGTTCAATGAGGATATGCACACAGTCTCAAAGTTATCTCCCCCAAATTACTTAAAATTTACAAAAGGAAAACATAATAGCTTTCCAGTGAAAAAGCCTGGTGGATACCACCTTCACCAAACATCAACGTTAACATCACCAGGTGTGGGACAAATGGACACCACGGCCTCCTGCTATGGTGCCCTGAGAGAGACACATCATCACGTCCATGCACTCCTCTCAAAAATACATGACATGATTACTGGTCTGATGGAGAATAGAGAAACCCCGAGAGTACGGCCCCAGACACCCTTTTAACTCTGTACTGAAGTCACTCCCGAGGTTCACCATTCAGCCAAAGATTAGACAGGTCTATAAAACAATTACACATGTAGCTCAACCATGTATACAAGACTAAATGGGCACACCAGCCCAGGGGCAAGGACAAGAAGGCAGGAGGGGGCAGGAAAGCTGGATGAATGGAAATGGGGAACCCAAGGTCAAGAAGGCGAGAGTGTTGACACGTCGCAGGGTTGACAACCAATGTTACAAAACAACGTGGGTATTAATTGTTTAATGAGAAACTAATTTGCTCTGAAAGCCTTCACCTAAACACAAAAGAAAAACAAAAAAATCCATGACGAGTCTAACACAGGAAACATCAGACAAACGCGTATCAAAGGACATTCTACAAAACCACCAGCCTGAACCCTTCAGAAATATCAGTGTCATGAGAGACTAAGGAACTGGTCCACATTAAAGACTACAGAGGCAGGACCAGGAAACACAGGGTCCTGGGCTGGGGAAATAACCACAGAGGAGATGGTTGGGACAACAGGCACATTGTGGGCATGAATTGCAGACTGCGTAATAGTCTTGTGTGATCGTAAAATTCCCTGATCCTGACTGTTGTACTGTGGTTAGGTGAGATAATCCTGTCCTAACATGTGCTGAAGTATTTAGGGATAAAGGGGCATAAGATGCTGTCTGCAACTTACTCTCAAATAGTTACGGGTAGGTGTGTATGTGTATACACACACACACACACACAGATACATACACGTACACACACACACCTACATACATGAAGGGAGGGAGGAAGGGAGAGAAAGAGAGAATGAACAAGAGGAACGCAAATGGGTCAAAAAGTTAACAACTGATGAATCTGGGTAAAGGGTATAAGAGAGCTCTTTGTACTATTCTTGTAATTTTTATGCAGGTTTGAAATTACTATCAAAATAAGAAATAACGTTGTCACCACAAAGATGAAATTGCTTTCAGAACTCAACAAAATCTATTCCAAAATTACTAGAATTTGATCTAACTTTTAATTTTTGGCATTCCTAAGGTAACACCAGATGATTTCCAAAAAATTAATAATAATCCAGTTTGCATTCAATTAGTATTCATTTAAAGCCTACGACCCTGACAGTTTCAGAGCCATATTTCACCTCAGCTTCCCCTCTAGCTACAGAAATACCAAGCTGTTATCTGCTTACGTCTTTCTGTCTTGTTGTGTTTTGCACTGTTCTCGGAAACACAGGTTAAGAGACACGGGGAACACGTAAAGCACAGCACACGAGGAGTCCTGTGCGCACATTCAACAGGGCTTGGAGGGGCAGGTGGCATGCATGCTAAAAGCTACTACTGCATTAAGGTCAACACGAAAAAGATAATGCATTAGGGTCTGTGTGGTCATTTACTCATGCAATTTAATTTTAGAATTTTATATGCAGGAAGTTTTTTTTTTTTTCTTGTTTTAAAATAAGGAATGGGCTCTGGAAAAAAAAAACGCTGAAGAGCAAATAGTAAATTGAAGGTTAAAATATCTGGATGAAAGAAAAGTTTGGGATGAGACTACATTTGAGAACCATCGAAAAGTACCTGCAGTGGTTGCTGCTGGGCTGAAAAAGCAGCAGAAACCTTTGGCGGAAGCTGGGTTGCTATAGCAACAGGAGTCCCAGTCTGCCCATCCTTTCCTGTCACAACCTTTACCTGAGAGGAAATATTTTGAGAAAAAAAGGCAACATAATTTTTAAGACTGCTCAAAACGTTGTTAGACTTTCATTGCTGATAGCTCACGGACGTCTGGTGTTTAAAAATGGAACGGTTTTGCATCGAATCCTGTGAAAGGATACCGAGCACACAAAGTTTATCACGTGACACCTCACTCACTGACCATCCTCGCAGGAGTGCTGATACGAGTCGCAAGGGAGACACTCTCAGTTTCTCTCACTGCAAATTTTAAAACTGGAGTGGCAGACAGGCCTCAAGTAACAAAAGCCCTGACGTCTGTATGGACAATCTGCACAATGGCCATGCTGTTCCCTACTAGATGCAGGTTTAGAATGGCTAAGGTCCACTTCAGCAGGGAGTTCTAAAAAAGGATTTGTTCTTTTCTCTTTAAGCATAGGTAAGAGGGATTGAGCTTACAGACAATACTGGTGTCACTGGTACAAACATGAAGAGGACTGAATATACTATTCACGGCAATAGAGGCGGAATCCTCAAAATAATCAGATAAATCGTTTGAAAAATAAAAATGGTCCTTCCTGGAATGGCATTGAAGAAAACACCAATGGCAAAGCCGCGCAGACACACCCATAAATACCGTGAGGACCGCCGAGGCAGAGAGACTGGCTTTTGTTCACCAAAGGCTGATTTCTCTGCAGGGTAAGAGCTGACAGAGATCTAGGCTGTTTTCTCTATATCATCAAACAGAATGAGCTCCACCAGCACAGTGGGCACCACACAACACAAAGCACAAACACAGTGCAGTACAGGACGACAGACTGCCCACCTGTTCCCACCGCTCGCCTTCTTCAGAAGGACAGTGAAAGCATCTTAGGGATTCCCTGGTAGTGAGAAATCTCAACGGGGGGGTTTATGAAACACCTATTCTAGGTACCCACTAAGTATGCTGCCTTAAAAGAGATTCTATCTTAACTATTGCTCAGTAGGTATTCCCAAGAGTGTGAGGGTTTGAAATCTGATGTAAAACCTGAGGATATATCTAAAAATTGAAAAAATTCTCAAGTGTAAGTTTTTTTGTGTGCCACACTTAAGTTACATAACAACTGTATTTTATACGTGAAGGTACTACACAAATAGACCTAGTGATTTATAATTACGGCTGGTGTACTGTGAAAGGTTAGAGATTTAAATCCCTTGTTTAAAAGCGATGTTGACAAAGTTTTGCCGGGCAGACCTATCTAAAATGTGAACCCAGAGTACTAGCCAAATGGGGCTAAAACTTCACGTCTGACATCTGGAGAACCTTCTCTAAGTTCCCCCACCTGGTGCTATGCTCGCTATCAAAGTTTCAGCCAATATCTACCCACCTAGACTAACAGGGAAAAGCCTGGATCGTACCAGATTCATTCTCTGAGCCTAGATGAGTCCTTGGTTCTAAATGAAAATATCTGGATTTTAAACAACCATTAATCACAGCATTACTATTTATCTCCCTCCCAACACACTGCTCTACTGAAACAGATCTTCCTTTCCATGAAGGAAAAAAGCTTAAAATGCATTCTTCCCCTTGACTCATGGATCAAATCCTTACAAAACCAAAATCTTAGAAACAGCCCAGTCATTTGTTATTTCTCAGTTACTGTTGCTGCATACTCTACTTTGCTTAGCAAATGTCCTCTAGATGCTTAAACTACTGATTACGTACCTCATCGTTGATGACCTCTGATTTTTCTTCCTCCTCTTCCTCCTCCTCCTCTTCTTCAATGTCCAGATCATTCTGTCTAAGGTACGCTTGCAACGGGGCATAATGTTTCTTCTTAAACGCTAAAAAATCCATCATATTCCCTTGAAAATGTTGCAGGAAAAACAGTTCAATCAAATACTCCTTGAAGGTCTCCTTGAGCAATTCCATCTCTTTGTAGTGGTAGTCCAGGCACTGCTTCCTCATCTGGGCCATTTCTGGAGATGCCGGGGGGATCTCCTCCAGCTTCTTGGGTGCCTTCCTCACTCCCGTGCCAACCGCAGATGTGAGCGGAAGGCTGGACAGACCCGGTGGCACCGAGGTCCTGGACGGGCTGGTGGGCGGGGGCGGGGATGTCATGCCGAAGGCCGAGGACCCAGCCACGCCCGGCAGGAGCACGCCTGGCGTCCTCTCGAAGCCCAGGGGCCGGCTCAGCTGCTGGCCCTGGAGCACTTGCTGCTGCTGCATCAGCTGCCCTTGGATCAGGCTGCTGATCTGGGGCGGCAGGCTGGCCGTGGCCAGGTGACCGGGGCTGGCCAGGGGCTGCATGCTCGTGCCACCTGCGGCTGGGCTCTGGGGCCCCAGGTGGTGGACGGTGCCTCCGGACTGCGTGTGAGGCTGCGACAGTCTCCGTTCCCGCACGCCCATGGGCGTGCCCGCATGCTGCAGCTGCACCTGGGTGCCCTGAGCCAGCTGGCTGAGGCCGGCCCCCTCCTGAAACACAAAGTGCCCCCCACTGGAAGGGCTCAGGCTGATCTGCCGCACCAGCACGCTGGCGTCCACGAACCCGCCTGTGGGGCTGGTGCTGCACAGGCCCAGCCCGGGGCCCGAGGCACCGGCCCTCACGCTTGGCAGGGCCTGGCCCGGCCCGGGGCTGGGCTGGGTGGGGCTCTGGGTCTGGACCTGCTGGGACAGTGGAGAGGTGACCTGGATGTAAGACGGAGACCCATGCTCAAACCGCCTCTGCTGAGCACTGAACTGGAAGCCAGGGGAGGTCGGGCTGGGCAGCGGCAAGGGCGCCAGTGTGATCTGCTGGTTGCCTCCCACAACCGGCCCCACATTTTGCAGGGTGATGTTCACGTTCTGCCCGGCCACCGGACTCCTGCTCATCAGCTGCTGGATCTGGTACCCGGGCGACTGAGGTGCAGATGGGCTGGCGGACGGGGCGAAGGCCGTGGCCGGGGACTGGGGCAGACTGGGGTGGGGTTGCTGCTCCTCGCCTTCGCTGCCGCCAGTGAAGGAGCGGGACCGCTGCAGTTGGTGCTGGGCGCTCGGGGGGCCGCCGCCATGGTGCATCGTCACGTCCCCTTTTCTCTCCAAGCTAATGTTGTCCTAAGAAAATCAGAGTGAAAATCAAGTTACCAACGGCAGATACAACTGCCTGGATCATTTACTACAATCACCACTGGGCAGCCCTGAAAAGACACTGTAGGCATTGTGTTCCTACTGCAGAGCGTCTTGCTAATCACTATCAGAAGCACGCACCAAGGTGGCATGCTGAAAACACCCCTGCAGTCCAGGTGAGGACGGTGCCCTCCTCTTTACTCCTGGACCCAGGGGCCAGGCCAGGCCTGGCAGGAGGGGGACCCAGGCAGTAACTGCAGCAGTAACTGTCAGGAGCACTAATCTGATGGCACGTGCGTCAGCCTCCCAGTGTAGTCATCACGTGAACTGTCTTAGGAGCCTGCACACCACCTCTGCGGGGCAGGTACTGCCGTTATTCCCATTTGTGAGGTGCTCAGGGCCCAGCAGCTCGTGTGCACAGAGCAGGAATCTGAACTGGCAACCAGACCCAGCTCACACTGCACACGTCTTCCTGGAGACCTCTGCCAGCCCCCAAAAGTGGTTCAGATGTCCCTTACGGGCACCATGTCCCACAGTAAGCACTTTCCACTCTGCACTCATCCGTCTCCCTCTGGAGGATGGTCAGCTCCTGTCCCAGGCACCCATGCGTGGCCCAGGAGTGCCCAGGGACCCCTGCGGAACCAGCGTACAGGCAGAGGTGCAGCTACAACCCCTGTATCACAGGACTCAAACTGCCCAATCACTCACTGGCCAGTAAGTGCTTATAAACATCTAGCTACATCACAGCAAAGCATACCCCTTGTTAACGCCACTCAGAAACACTGAGTCCCAGCTACGTGTCAGGTGCTCTTACAGGGGAAGGGGAAGCCCTCAGGAGGTCCAGTCCATTACAGGAGCTAGGAAACAAAGTGGGAAGGGAGTCCTGGAGCAGAATGTAGGCAACACCCCCAAGTTCACAGAGGGGCGATCTCAAAAAGAAAAGGACAACTGGAGAGGGACGGGGATCTGGCCAGGGCGGAGCTCTTACTCTGGGCCAAGTCTCCCTTTCGGGGGTCTGTAACTTCTCTGGGGGCTGTTCCATATAGCAGCAAGATGAAAGGAGCCAGACTCAAAAGGCCCCACACTGCAGGACTCCTCTTAGAGGACATTCTGAGAAGACAGAAATACAGACTCAGGACAGATCGGGGCGGGGGGGTCCGGGGCAGGGGGAACTCACCACAAAGTGGCACACGAGGGGATCTGCTCGCTTAAGAAACTGCTTTGCATCCTGGTTGAGGTAAAAATTATGTGACTATGCATTTGTCAAAATTCTCGGAACTTCACCAAAAAAGTGGGCATTGCTATGCGTAAACTAAAAACAACAACCAAAACAAACCAGCTAAATAAGACGGCAAAGCAAGGAAGTGCAGATCCCTTCCCCTCCAAACAAATCATTCTAAAATTTTACTTTTCAAATAATAATGCACCAAGACAAAAACTTCTGTTGACTAGAAATAAAGTAGAATCCACAGCCGGGGTGAGACCACTGGCCCAAAGAATGATGGGTCCAGAAGAAAGCACCAAAGACCAGGATTTCAACTCTTAAAGGCAATGGGGACACGAATCTCTCTAGTGTGGCTGAGGACCAGAGCCAGGCTCCCGAATGGAGCCAAGGACTGGGACTCTTCTCCCCTACCTGTTGACAGAGGCTAAAACAGCTCCATCAGCCGACTGCAGGTTGCCGCTAGCAACTAGTCCCTGCCCTTTGCAAAGGGAGGAAGCAGATCCACCTACACAAGTGGAACCACGCAGACATGGTCACCAGCACTGGGACTGTGAGGTCCTAACAGGAAAAACACAACCCCACAGGGCAGCGCTGGGCAACCACAAACTCCTTGACAGAGAAGGAAAAGATCAATTCCCATGCAAGATAAGCACTGAAACACAAATAAACGTTAAGTAAGGGGGAGGGACAAAACAGGGGCATCTACAAGCCAGGAACGAACATTCTGGAAGGACATTAGCACAAACTCGGCTGGAGTTCTTGAAGAGATACAGGAGAGAAGCACATCGTGAAACAAGGGATGATGGTGAGTCAAGACCAGGAAACTCAAAAATGTTAAAAATGAAAACACCTCTGTAAAAAGTTTACCAGATGGGATGAACAGTAAGCTGCACACAGTTAAAGAGACAATTGGTGAAGAGAAGAGCTCTCTCTGGACGAGAGAACTGAGTCAATCACTCAGATCACTGTGCAGAGAAAGATAGAGGTGGGAAGTACAGGGGAAAACCAAGCACCATGGAGGGAAACTGAGAAGCTGAGAGACATCTGAGAGTAGCTTCACAAGGAAGGGGCACCGAGAATGAAGAGAGTAATCTGAAAGGAGAATGGCTAAGAATGTTCCAGAAATCAAGAAAGCCATAAGCCTGCAGACTAAAGTACACTGACATTTTAAAAAAAAAAAGCGTACAGAACCTGAGGCTGATCCCCACGAAGACACCACACGCCACCTGTGTAGAAGGCCCAGCTCACGCAGCTGTCCCTGACACAAACAGAATGCACGACACAGCAACTACGTTCTCGCCTGAACGCGTCAGTGCCTCCAACATGGCTCTGTGCTTTGCCCGTGCTGCTCCCGCCCTGTCATCTCCACCTGCCCCATCCGAGGTGGGAATCAAACCTCACCTACTGCTGAGTACTCCCCTCTTTATCTGCTCACACTCCTATACGTGCAGACACACAAAGCAAACACACACACCCCGCACATAAACATTAGACCTACTTCATTGTCTTTAAGAAGCCCTGGTGGTGCAGTGGTTAAGCACTCCGCTGCTAAGTGAAAGGTCAGCGATTCAAACCCACCAGCTGCTCCACGAGAGAAAGATTTGGCAGTCAGCTTCCATAAAGATTTACAGCCTTTGGAAACCCTACAGGGTTGCTATGAGTTGGAATCAATTCAACGGGAGTGGGTATCATCATCTTTAATTACCAATTACCTTATACACCTAGGTCCCTACCAAATTTATCTGCTTTAGAAAAAACACTACTTCCTTAATTCATTTATTCAACAAATGTTAAATACTATCTATGCTGAGCACTATCTGAAACACTGGGGATACAAGAATGAACAAGGGAGTGAGTGCCCAGGTTACAAGTGTCCAACTTATGACAGCTTGTACTTGCCCTTTAATGTTATGCAAATTTGCCCTCACTTTGAAATGACTGAACTGATCCGTATGCATAACAAGTCTTCATCACAATCACCTTCACTTGCGGCATCTGCAGCTTTTAGATCATTGAAAAGCCTCTCAGCTTTTTCTCGCACTAAAGTAAGGCTAAGGAAGAACCATATGCATCTATTCCAGCTTACCTATTAATGTGACTTAAAGACCCACTTAGGAACAGATCTGCCTGTATACAGTTTCTCAGGAGGCTGACACTGCAGTGGGAGGGGTTTACATTAGTAGTCAGGCAGTAAGCAAACCAGTGGATGCCAGGTGACAGGTGCAGGGAAAGGGAGCGGGGTGGGCAAGCCGCCCTGTCAGACCAGGACCTGGGGGAGGCCTCTCGAAGGCTGTCTCAGGCAGAGAGAACGCGTGTCAGAGGAACGTGGCAGGTACCAAGAGGGCAAGGAGTAGGGTGCTGGGGAACAAGGTCAGAGAGGCAGCCAGGCCTGCTCACAAGGGGCTTTGTAAACCACGCAAGGACTCTGTTTTTTTTTTCCCCTGAGGGAGATGAGAAACTATGAAGGCTTCTGACAAAGCCTCACCCTGGCTGATGTGTGGAGAGCAAGCCCAGGAGCTTGGCTGGCTTAAGCACGGAGACCAGTCAGGAAGTCATCAGAGGGATCCAGCGCAGATGGTGAGGGACGGCTGTGACTGTGCAGGCAGTGAGGAGTGGCCAGATTAGAGGTTTAGGATGTGACAGAAATACAGCCGAGGGTCACCACAAGGGTTCTGACCTGAGCAACTGGACAGGTGAAGTAGTCTTTTCCTGAGGTGGGACAGGGCAGGACTGAGATGTGGAAAGGTGATGTTCGAGGGGGAGACCCAGCCTGAGACCCACACTTGGGACATGCGGGCACACAACAAGCAGTCATGACACAGGAAGCAATGATCGGTCAGGTCAAAAGCTGCTGCTGAAGGGGCTTCGGCAACGTGGAGGCTCTGGTGTGCCCGCCAGGAGCGGTTTCGGTGCAGTGGTGGGTATCAAAAGCTTACCTGAAGTGTCTTCTGGAGAAACGGGGGGAAGGGAAATGGTGACAGAGTACAGACAGGCCTTCCCAACCCTGGTACAGGCTGTTCCCAGGTTACAAACGAGATCCCTTCCTGTTCATCTTTAAGTCGAATTTGTCCGTAAGTCCGAACAGGTACATAGAATCCTTATTTATCGTCAGTTAGGCAAATGTTTGTCTCAGTAACAGTATATACTTTACCCTTCTAAGCTTATGAAACACTTCCAAACCATGAAATGTTTTCATGAGTGTCACAAAGCAGTATATGCATTCACTATTACGTACCACTGTATATATTTAACTCAAATTTTTAATATAATAGGCTTTACGGCAGCCCACTCTAGGTATGAGTTTTCGGTTTTAAGTCGGATGTTGGTAACCCAGGGACTGCCTGTATAAAAGCATGCCAAGAACTAGAACGACAGGCAGAGGTGCGCGTGACAGAGTCAAAGAGGGTCTGTATGCTGATAAGAATATGAGAACACGTCAGAGAAGATAAACTGAAGGCAAAAGGGAAGAATACCAGCGCTCTGCTCTTGAGTAGGCAAGAAGGGGGAGACCCAATACAGGAGGTTAAATAATGGTTCACAGACACAACACCACCACCAAGTGTTACTATAAAAGTTTTACTGGCACATGACCATGCTATGTTTTTAACAAGCACATAAAATGACACTGTTGTTGCTAGGTGGCATCGAGTCCATTCCGACTTATGGTGACACCATGTGACAGAGCAGAACTGCTCACAGGGTTTCTTGGCTGTAATCTTTACGGGGGAGCAGATTGCCAGTGTGTCTCCT